GAGCTACAATGTGGTCTGTAGATGACAACCAAAGGTGTGGCCTTCTACATGTTTCTTACAAAGGAATTTTATATTCTATACGAAACCACGAGAATTTTATATATATATATATATTTTAAAAAATGCAACTTGTCATATATTTTCCAAATGTTTTCATCGTGCATTCGAAGATGAACCAGAAAAACATGGCTTAGGAACTAGGCAAACTAATTTCAAAGCTGTGTTGTGTTGAGACCTAGATGGTGTCAATACTGGTATAATGTAATAGAAAGCTTTAACCTTTCTTCGTCCCTCGTATTTGAACAGAATTAAGATAGCCATTTATTTTTGAATTTGGAACTGCTCTCTTTTATTTATGTTTAAAGATAGGAATTGACTCATCCACGCCTATGAGGGATAGAGATAGGAGCTGACTCATCTCCCGTCGCGCATGGGAGAGATCGAGATCCGGTTCGTTTACAACCACAAACCACAAGGTTCCTGGATAAGAAAAGGTTTCTTAATGAATACGTGAGAAACCTATGTGAAAAGGAAAGGTGGTAAAAATTTTCCAACTGTTGTACCAGCCAACTATTCTTGGCGATGATAAGGCTAACGTTTCTTTGGCAAGACGTCTTGCTTAATCTCACTACGCAGAGCCCTCAGTAACCATGACTTGGACTCACGTATACCAAATTACTTTCCATAAATGTTTTGCGACACAATTTCAACTGCGTTTCTTCTTTAATTAGATCACTTGGAATGTTTCTCTAGGAACTAAATCAAGTAGATTAAGTACAATGACAAAATCACCATCGTCATCTTAGTCTCTTGCTCACTTTGTCAAGAACAAACATTTCTCAGTCCTTAATTAATCCTAGGTTCAAAGCAAGTGGCAAAATATTGTTATAAACAGAAGAATTGCAACATATACAAGCTGGATTTGTGCCGAAAACCAATAAATAAACATAGAAGTTGGATTTACCAACTTTGTCTTTAAACAGGACCAGTAAGATAAAGAGTATATACAACCAGTTTGGAGAATAAACACTTAGGAGTTTCTTAAATAACATTTACAGTCTCCTTCAACATGACTTGCGGTTAATCGTTATAGTTTCTTGAGTTACTGCTATTACCTGGATAGATAAGTGGCTAATTCGTTTTTCTGTTGCATTTTATAGCCAAAAAAGGAAATGCTAAAGGTTTTCAATCCCAAAAATGAACATGAAGAAAGAATCAGAGCACTTTAAGGCTTCCAACAGCAAGATACATAATGATAAAAATTAAACCCTTAAATCAAGTTCTAAACGCCATCGCGGGACTTTTTTTTGTAATGAGACCCTCCAATTTTGTTGTTTTTCGTATAATTGAGGTCTTTTAATGATTTTCTAAAACAATAACAGTTTCACTCACCAAAGGCGTGATAATGTTGATTAGTGTTTACAATGAAGAGAGCACATGTTGTTCTCGCGTAAATTTTAGAAGCTGTAGGACCTCATGCTTTGAGTGAACGGAGAATTATCAAATGGCTTGCAATTGTGAAACTAGAACAATAAAAAATTCAACTCTAGTGTCTCTCTGAGAACCAGACCAGTGTCGCCCAAGAGCTGTTAAGAAGCGATTACCCAGTGGACCTTACAGTGATTTCGCAAGTCGCGCGCAGGATCTTCCGCTCGGTTCCTCTTTCTCCAACCAAATGAAAGCGAACTGACGATGGAGATACAAGATTTTCGCGTAGGAAATTAGTTCCGAAGCTCCATGGCCCATACGTACTGTGGCCAGCCAGTTCTTCCTCGTTTTCTCTGCGTAGGATCGTGGTTTGACGCCGCAGGCTGTGAAAGTGAACGGTATAAGCAGGAACAAATTTGCGAATGACGTGATTACATTACTCCACGCAAAGCAAATAATGTTATATTCATGAACTTAAGACAATTATACTTACCATACTCAATTCTCTCTTCGGTTTCTCTCTTCCCTCATTCTGAAATGTTAAATCGGCTACAAATTGGTGGTGGCTTCGCGCTGGTTTTCCATCGTTGCTTTCTTCAAGGACTTCCATTAGAAACTTGATGTAGCTTATCGCCAACCTCAGCGTTTTAATTTTCGATAGCTTTGTATCTGGAGGAACGTTAGGAATATGGTCGCGAAGTTCAGCAAATGCTGAGTTCATAGTCAGTGTACGCTTCCTCTCTTTTCGATTTGCTGAACCGCGAGGAACTTCTGACGAGTTAGCTTCATGAAATGAAGCTGTAGGTTGATGTTCTTCGCATGGCTCAACTTTAAGAGGTTTTGATTTCTCGTGTTCTTCCTTAGACGTCCTGTTCATCACGGCCTCAATTGAAAATCGGGAAAGGTATGCGGCGAAAATATGCTTCAAGGTTCAAGCTTAGCTTAACTGACACTGCAATCATTGAAGAATAGATTTTCAAAGTCGCATCAGTTGAAAACGATACCCAACTGTGAGTTAAACTGGCGGACGGAACTTTATCATCGCTTACCTAACACTTATCATCCAATTACAGCGCTCTAAAAACGTGGAATTAATGATAAGATTGATATGTGTGACAAAATTGATTGTAGATCACTCTTGGTGATTTAAAATGGTGATAAAATTTGACTGGAAAATACAACGGTGTTCTCTTTCTTTGTTTCAATAAAATAAGATAAAAAGCTTACTTGTTCAAGTACTTAAATTTCCTGGCCTTATCACTAATGGACTGCGACTCCTATCTATAAACAAACAAACAAATGAACATTAATTGATGTATTTCCTTGTCTTTAAATTTCCAGGACCGCCCTTCAATCATCAAATATATTTAAAGTTTATCGTTGCAAGTTTTATGCGCGTGTTGTCTTGAACTCATAACTTTACTTAATTCGTGATAGTTTTTAAAAAGGCTTTCTTTTCATAACGTATCACACAAGGTGTCTTTTGTAGGTAAAAAAAAGAACTTTATTCTTCTATCCCTGTTCAGTAATCGGTCAGTCTACAGGCGTAAATGGAAATTCCTTCGATGTTCTCCGCGCGCGCAGTGTCCGCAAGATTCTTTCGCGTGGCCTCTAATGATAAACACCTCCCTCTTAGAAGTGAGATTATTCAAAACCAAAAGTTCGAGGATTCGCTTAACATGGTCTCACCTCTAACAGCCTTTGACCCGATACTATCTTTTTGCGCAATTCGCACAAATAGAAAATCCTTTGTCCGTATTATTTTAGACGCATGTCAATCGTAGAACCAGTCATTCCGGAAACATTAATGACTTCCGGTCTGTGGATAAACACAAAGTATTTATAAGTCAATTAAGCATAGTGGATGGCGCAAATCCAGAATTCCTAGTGCTGCTGAGCATTATGCGGGCTATATTTACTTACACGCTAAGATAACGGATCTTGCCAGAGACCAAATAAAGCTAATGAAAAAATTGGGGAAACATACATTACCATTGGAGATTAATTTGTCTCTATGTAGCTTTCCTTTAGACGTGAATCTCTTTGAAACCTTTTCCATTCTCTTTCTGAGGTTTCTGAAATTTCGCCAGCCAGACAAGGTGGAAAACTCTGAAACACGAGCCTAAAAACGGCAGCATTTTTAAACTATTGAATGGTTTCCTCTGGTTATTAATAAAGGATAAACTGAACTGACCATATAAAGTCAAACCGCAGATCTTCGAACTGGTTTTTTGCGTAGCAACGGAAAGGAGACATTTTTTAGTTAATGCATGATCTAAAAGAAGATGACAGCGCAACTAGAATGTAAAATCTTAAGAGTCTTTATGTATTTCGACACCTATGCGTTTAAAGACATAAACCAATTTTTTGGTTTTAGGACGTAAAGTAATCTTCTCACACACATGCACACACACCTAGTTCATCTTGGCCGCGGGAAACTCTCATAGATACATGGCAAAGAGGGTACATACTTTTTTCAAAAAAAAAGTAATAAGCATATGCGACTGTCAATAACCTAGCAGAGTTTTCAATTTTAGAGTAACGAGTGCTCGTTGAATACAGCTTTGCACAGAAAAACATTTTCTCGCTGTTTAGGACTGGGAAAATTTGATCCTTTGAAAAACGGTGATTTACACCGATACGGACTGAGAAGTTCTAGATTTCAGATAGTAAGATGAGAGCCATTATTAAAGTCGCCCTGGTACAGCTCGATTCTGGCACCGATTTTTAAAATTACATTGAACAGAATACGTGAGCAGCGCAAAATTTTAGCACATTTAACTTAGTACTAACAGAAACTCTTTCAAGAAAAAAGGTTACGATATCAGAAGGGAGATTTACTTGAAGTGTGCCTATGTAAAAACTGTTGACCTTCACCTGTGCCGTGAACGAAAAGCGCAACTTGCCCGTGAGGAAGTACTTTTAATTGGGGCGCCTCGATCCCAATAAATCGTTTTCCAAACCCAGATATCCTATATCTGGAACGCAGCGAGAGGAATGCCAAGAAAAGTGGGGCACTGTATCATGAATATATTGACCGAACGTTTTACGTTGAGAGATGTTGTAATTCTTGTTTTTCGATTAAAGATTTAACCAAAATGAATGTGAAGGTCGATTAAGAGCCGTCCGTCCAATAAGTGCCCCTTTCTCTTTTCATAAGTATATAATGCATCTTTTAGCCCTCTCTGGGTCTTTTACCGAAAGAAATGACAGATTTCATTACCCTCTCACATAGTAATTCAACCAGTGAAATCTTTAAATCCTTTTATAGAATTTGACCTAAAGCCTGAAAGAGGTAAGCCTTCCCGAACGAAAGCCATTATAGGGAGCTCTCCCTCTCTCTCCCCTTGGGCTGACTGCCCCTCGTTTGCCCCTCGTTTGTCGACCGATCTTTATCATGATGTCTTTGTATCACCATAAGACGTTATGATGGCCCTTATGATCAGAAGCAGAGCAGAGTATTGGGCACGTGCCAGATTTGTTTCCGGTCTCACGTTTTACCGCCATTTCATAATAGTAACCAGGCCTTGTAGAGAGTGCAGTTAACGCCTGGGAGATATTTGCAGTCAGCCATGTTGGAGCCAATTTTGGATGTTTTGTCCTCACAAAGAATTATCCTTGCGAGTAGTTCTCCTAGAAGAAGTGAAATCCTTCGAAAAATTGTAAGTTCTTAAGATCCTAGGATAGTTTTTGATGATTTAACATCGTAATATTGTCACTGATGTTAAACTGATAAAAAATGATATAGGGACTGAAGTTTGACGTGATCCCATCAAACTTTGAGGAAAACCTGGACAAAAGTGCTTTTAAGCACCCATATGAATATGTTTTGGAAAATTCAAGGCAAAAGGCTCTTGAAGTAGCTGATCGTACAAACGAGGTAAGGCTTAATATTATTGTGGATCGCAAAACTTAAAAGACTCTACCTTGGACGTTCTTGTTGTTGTTTCTTTTCTTCAAGTTTTCAATTGATTCGCTAGAATTTAATATAGTCTTATAATTGATCATGCATGACATTAGCTGGTAAGAGAATGCACTCTTGTAGCTGGTTGGGCTGGGAGAATGTGACTCCATTGAATATTGACAGCTCTAGTCGTCCATATGTGAGAGTCTGATCAAGGCATAACAGTTTTCACTTTTGCATCTAAGAGACCTAAAGGGTTGAAAATTTTATTTAAGGGAACAAAAGGAAAACAGACTATTTTACAGTTGTGCACTGAGTATCTTGGCCTTGAGTGGATGGAAGGCTGGAAAGTGACTAAAAGTTGGTTTGATACAAACCTAACTTTTTTCCCCAAAAATATTATAAATCAGGCTCTCAAGCATCTGAATGCCACTTAAGTTTCTGTCAAACCAAATTCACCACCAGCCTTGCTTCCAATAAAAGGCTGAGCCACTTAGCACAAACAGTAATGGGGCCTTTGCTGGTCAGTCTGCAGCATGTTTCACCCTTGACCTTAGGCCAGTTTGCATCGCGTGAGTGAGCAAAGAAGTCTTGGACTGGAACACGATAGGCAAATAATTCCTCCATCAACCTTGGTGGGTGAAATCACATACAAACTTCATGGATATTACCAGGAACAGGGATTGGGTTCTTTAGCTGAGGTGGTGGGTACACTGCACTTTGTATGACAATAAAAATAATGCAGTTTATGATAATATTTTTTACCAATAATTTTATCAGGTTGACAAGGATAACTTGGTCATTGGAGCAGACACAGTGGTTGTAAGTATATTAATTAATTTTTTCTCTTAATTAGTGATGATTTAACTGAATGTCTGGTTTACATGAGTGAATTATTTAACAACTTTTTACAGGTTTTGAATGAAAAAATTCTGGAAAAACCCAAAGACAAAGAGAATGCTTATGAAATGTTAAAAAGGTGACCTGTGATATTTTTGCGTATTTTTGTATCTAAGGGTGCACATGTAAGCCAGAACTAGCTGGCCAGAGTAGTTCAGTCAAATTGAAAATTCCACTATTAGTCAGGTCTATAGCCAGCCAGGTCAGTCTGTTCCTAAACAGTGCACTAAGCTTTGACAGGTTTTTAGCGAAAATTTCAAAATGAACAGTCCATTGAGCCATTCTGACTTGGCAACTGCCCTTTCGCCCCTAAAGATGATGATGTACAGGACGATTAGCGGCGAAGATTTTTAGCACGGTACAGCGTTGCAATGTTCGGACAATGTCGTAACTATTCAAAACAATGTTGCAAGGCTGTGTTGGGCTAAAAATCGTCACTGCAAATCATCTCGTATCATCAGTATAAGTCTTGTTGCTTGTAGAGGGCTGTCATTATAAAGATTTCAAATTGCCTTGAGTATATGAAATCATTAATAGGCAGGAAATTGAACTGCTAGAGGGTTCTTTTGTTTTAATGATTTTGTTGCTTTTGTTTCCCATGAAAGTACACATGTAGCTTGGGTTCTTGCTTATTCTAGCTGGGGAACATTCTTGGCCCTCGGCCCTTTATGACAGCCTTGCTCAGCCATCCTGCATAAATAGGGGGCATATTGCCATTTGTTGATATTCCTTAAGCTGTCTTGTTTTGACCAGTTGACCAATCTCAATGTGAAAAGTGAGTAGTTAACACCAATGTTTAATATGATAACATCTAGGTAGTCAGACTAGTCAGAAGATCCACATAATTATACCTGTAAAACAAACTAAAACATCTCAGTATTTTGATCAGTTGCACTAAAATCAATTTAATAACTTGAAAACTGAGAAATGTGTTCAATTTAAAGGCCACAATCATATTGTAAATTCTGTGTAAGTTGTGACTTTAGATATAACTGGATATCAGTGTATTTTAATTAGATTTTTGCTTGAAAATGTAGTCTACATGTAATATTAGATTTGCTTTTGTTTGACTCAAAATGAGAGTTATTCTTTCTGCATGACAACCATAAACAAGTGTAGTTCCCTAATAACTGAAACATTCACAACAAAAACAGCAATTTGTAAGACCCTCAACTAACTTTTTGTAACAAACAAACATATTTATAGTTTGAGTGGCAGGGACCATAAAGTGTTCAGTGGTGTTACCCTTGTGCAGAGAGACTGTAAAGGTTGGTTAATGAATTATATAGCATAATAAATGGTTTAAAGTGAGCATTTATGGTACATGTATCAAATACACAGCTGCAATGACTCAGTGTCTGAACTTCTCAACTGCCTACTCCAGGTTTCAGATTCCCATGACTTTCTCAGCAAATCCTCGCTTGCAATCCATTTCTGTTTCCAAATTTTTTCTTTCACCTCTCTTGACCATACAATTACAGACCATCATGATTGCCCCTGGCCTCTAAAGTCAACTATAGTAAATAACTCATCGATCCTCATCTGTATTGAAGATTCTGCAAAGCTTTTTCACCTATACCAGTAGAGGTTTCTGAATTTAACGAGAGATAACTTTTTCCAATTGTAGATTTAAAAGATTCCAGAATCACCCAGTTTTATGAAGAAACGTTAGTATCATTTGGAGAGTTAACAGATGATGTCATTCATGGCTACATTAAAACTGGAGAACCTATGTAAGTTGTGGATAATCTACGAGTGCCATTGTGTTATGTCCTAATATCACGTCACACACATAATCTATAAATCTCTACAGTGATGATTCTGGTGAAAGGTTTTAATAACTATTTAGTATTGTAGGGTGAAAACTGCTGACTAAAACTTTAAAGCCAGTCACAGCTAATTACACTTATGTTGGAAGGCCAATGCAATATAGATTGTATTTATCGCATGGAAGCACATGTAGGAGTTGGAATGTCTTAATACACTTTAGATTCTCTCTCTCACCCCCCCCCCCATTCCCACTTCCACTTCCAGTTCCAAGAGTACGTGTAGTTACTACTCCCCTTAGCGTTTGCTGTTTGTAGTCCTTCAAAAAAGTATCGGCTTCTCTTGCAGTCGACAATGTTTATACCCAGCTGATCAACCACCTGTAAAATTCTAGAAGATTTCTATGAATATCATTTTAATTAACATCAGAAATTTGCTATTTTTTTTTTCAGGGACAAAGCTGGATCATATCCTTTTATAAAATGTGTGTTTTATAGTCTGATCTGAAGTACTATTTAAGAGTCTGACCTTTGCTTTTACTCCCAAAATTAGTATACCAGTAAAAATGTCTTATTTCAATTTCCTGAAAAGAACAAATTAATGGTACGATATGAAAGTTTGGCAAGCAAGGTTTCGTTGGATTACATGTGGTTACAATAGAGGATTTCATCCACAGACTCCGTCAAAATTAACTTAAGTAGGGAAAAGATGCTTCTTGGAAGATGATCAAATTATTTCTTATCTCAAACTCCTTTAAGGTTTGGCTCTCGTGTACATTTGCTAGTACAGTAAAACCCTGCCTTACGACTACCTCATTGTTACGACCATATTCTTTTGACCCAAACTAAAAATCAGCGAGTCATTTAATTATTTTAAAGACCGTGTTAATGGGACCATTTCATTATTACGATCAGGATTTTGACCCAACAGTGATCGCACTAACAGGGTTCAACTGAATTTTCTTACAGATTTGTTCACTTGACTGTGTTTTTCCTTAACTTAACTTATTTATGGTATCCAGGGTATTGGTGGTACACTTGTCAAGTCTATTCACGGCGACTACTTCAATGTCATGGGATTTCCATTGCATCATTTTTGTCTTCAAATTAGAAAGTTGTACTCTGATAAAATCAGCTGACAAAACAAAGGACATTTTGAGTGCTTGCCCAAAACATATATCCCTCAGAGCAAATTGTTCCCCTCTGACAAAATGGCCAGAGAAGAAGAAAGAGAAGAGGGCCATATTCTTTACATTCTGCAAAATTTTATATTTGTTCTATGCAAGAAATGCACGTGCAGTGTATGCAAATTAATTTCATGAGAAGCTGATTATGTAAATTGTGCAAAGAACAAAAGATTTTGCAAAAGTCAGGTTTACATGAAGCACCACCTGAACAAGAATTTGAAGAAAATTGTGGGATTTTCTCTGCTTGAGACAATCCTCCTCCTTTGCTATTTGGATTATCCCAACTCACTCCTTATCTAGAGACTACTTTTATTCTTCACTTATGAAGGGCGCAGCCAGCTTTTCGACTATTTGAAGGCCTGGCTGACTTTTCATTTCGACATATCCTGAAAATTGTACCCATGACTAGTACGGACTGACCTCACCAACACTTTGACCTCTTAAGCCTTTTAGCTCACCCCAACAGTGCATATTATATTACAAGCGGAAGACTGATCAAACCAAACAATTTGTAGGCCAAGGCCTACAGGTCTATGGGCTGGCTATGCCCCCGGTTATGTAAATGTATTTATTTTTCTCTTTTTTTCAAACTGTATCACATGTAAACGGAGCTGGGTGAAAAAAATCTTCTTGTTCTTGTTCCTACGTATTTTCTCCCTTTCCAAAGCCCCTCTTTTGCAAATTCTCCACCTCCTCTTACTCTTCACACTCGGGTTTTTTTTTTTGCTTAGTGCCGGTTTTTGTGGCAGGTCTTATGAGGTTGGCATAATTAACTAGGGCCTTTTTCCTCAATCATCTCCAGACACTGGGCCCCTACGTTCTGGTGCAGATCAAGCAGCCTCGTTTCCAGGGTCCCTTCCACCCTGGAAACGAGGGTTGGCAGATCAGTCAATCTGTCTACTTGAGATTAAGTGTGTTCATTCAAGCGTCCAATTATTCTTTTGAACAAAATAAGAGATTATTAATTTTAAATTGAAAAGACAGGACCAATAACTGATAATCATTTGATGTGGTAAATTTATTCCTCTGTCAACAAAGTAATTTGATTTCCTAGTAAACACTCTTAAAGCACTAAACTCACTTTCATAATTTTAAACTTCTACATAACTCTTGAGATCACATTTAGATCTTCATATTTTCCAGGCATGAGTCTTATTTGCAATTTTTGCTACATAGCAACTCGAATGATATTATCAAGAACTTCACTATTTTTCTGCAGTCGGGGAATTAACTAATTTTTGTGATGTAAGATTTTAATGTAACAGGGTAATGACGTTTATGAGAAGAAGCGTTTTTTAGAGAGAAAAACAATGTAGTAGTTTGTCCCTATATTTGCTTTTGAGAAGAGTTTCATTTGTAACGTTGGACTTATCAAGATATATTCGACCGTAGAATTAATGGTTACACACTGAAAACAGCACACTGCGTCCGTCTTAATCAGTAAGATGCTCAACTCATGGAGTTCAAGAAAAAATTGGAAAACTAGCAGGTTTATGCCGGTTCGTTAACAGAGATTCTACAGCCAAATTAAAGTATTAGATCTCTGGATAAACGCGCGATATACGCCTTAAAAAGAAAGTAAAAAAGCTCTTGAGTGCAAGACAGCGAGTCCCTTGGGATCTATTAGCGCGAACGGTTGTTTTCATGCAAACTTGAGCGAAGCCTTCTATAATATGTGTCCTTCCTGGAATGCACTTAAACTGGATATCTGGGGGAGTGAACACCAACAGTGAGTGAAACACCAAACGTGGCTTGGTGTTGAAGCTCATGAAACTTGTTGGTTGCGCGTAGAATTTCAATACATATGGTTATACCACTATTAAACTCTCTTATATACATTATGACTTCATAAAAATCTCGCATGAATACAATATGTTACAATTTGAATTTTCCCACTAAATTTGGATATGTTTCAAACGTAAGTATGTAAAAATACTCTTCTTCAGAGTTTGCAAAAACCGTATTCCTCTTCAGGCACGTATAAGTTAAATAGGCCTTGCCGCTTGGATTGGCTGTTCTTTCCTGTTTCTAAGACCAAATCTGGGCGGTACTTCAGTAATGAGGTGATATCAGCCGACTTCATATCATTATGGTTTTCGTCAACTTGCATCTGAGGAGTCCTGCAACAAGGAAGTGTGAAATCGGTGAGAAGGCTTTACAGGAGGTTTCACACCGACGACGGCAACAACAATGACAAGAAAAACAATAGCTTTCACAACCAAGGCAAGAGCGGCGCGTTTTTGATACACTTTTTGCCATCCTCTGGGGCGTTTTATAGAGCACCTGAACGCCTGGCAACGGTGTTGCCTTTCTTTTTTCTAACTTGGTTGCGTCTCTAACATATTAGTGAGTTTACGCAACAGGAGAGGAGAAAAAAGAGGACGGCGAAAAGTTTGTGTGTGACAAACGTGACAGGGCTATTCCTTGCGCGTTTTGTGTGATCTTCACTTAAATTAATGTTTTCTGGTCTTTTACAAAAAGATCTGGTGATGGAAGGGAAAGTTTAGAGGAACGTTTTTCGAGACAATATTTTCACGCTTGTCAAACAAGGTTTGGCGTGTTGCAAAGCAAGTTGCACGTTCTAGTTTCATTTACACTTTCGTCGCCGTAGCTATGTACGCTCCTTTGGAATAGGAGAGAACATCACCCTATACATTGCGAACGCAAAAAAAACCTGGGGATGAGTTTGCTGAAATACATACGTCATCATCGCTTCGCCTGCGGATTGGTGAAATGACTCTTCGCCCGTTGTCGCTGTGATCAGAGACCAGAGGTGAAGACATGTCTTTTGGCTTTAGCCTCGCAAATTCACCACTGCTGAACGAAGTGTGAAGTCTTTGGTCCGTGTTGCGAGAGTAACGGCTCGTCAATGATTCTCCTGTAGAGAGTAGAAAAAGAAAGTAGTAGAAAATGTTACACAGACTGGTTTCACCCACTTTTAATATTTCTTGGAGTTGATCCGCCTCCGAAGCTGTTGCTTTGTCAGAAGTGGTGAAATACGAGAACTTTCTTATCCTCCCGCCCCGTCCCTGAGGAAAACAAGGAAAAGTAGGAGCACAACACAAGTAAATTAAACCAGTCATGAATATAAATATGACGTATTTTGCTGTGCGATTGATTTGGACTTTCTACTGACCAAGAGTTGGGGAGAGTGACTAATCAAGTGAGCGCTGCGGGTGCTATAGATAAATCCCTACAAGACTACCGCTCGAACAAAATCTTTTCCTTGTTACTTTTAATTATTTTACGCCGCAAAAGTGCGATATTTTCTTAAAATATTGTGATTTTCAACGCTTTCGGAAGAAAACCAGGGTTCGTACGGAGTCTTGAATTCTTGAAAAAGTCTTAAAATTTGCCCGACACTTTTCAAGACCTGGAAAAAGTCTGGAAAATAGAGATGAGGTCTGGAAAAATGGTAAATTTTTAAGCCACAACTAGTGCTTTATAGGTGAAGTTTTCTCGTTTTCGTCAAATCTTATTCAATGTCGCCTCAAAGATCAGCAAATCTCTTGGAATTCTCACAAGATTGAGACACTTTGGTCCCACTGGTACTTTACTAAGCATTTTCTTTGGGTTGTTTTCCTACTCGTATACCTTGTCAGTAACTGTGCTAACATTGTGGGTGGCTCTTCCTAATGTAACTTCCATGGAAATATGTCAATCAACAAACTTCAATAAACCACGTGCGCAGCACATCATGAAAACAGCTTTGTTTTTGCCTTTTTTTAAAGGTCTCGTTTGATCATCTGTTTGATAACCTCGAGTCTGGAAAATATATTGATAAAAGTTTTGGAAAAACGTCTGGAAAAGTCTTGAATTTTGGTTCCAAAAATCTGTGCGAACCCCGGACGCAAAAAAGCTAATATTAACAGACTTACTTGAGGCTGAGCCCGTGATATCCCTCTCTCTTCGACTTGTTTCTTGTAATAATCTTTCTCTGTTGGAGGAATTACACAGTCGTAGTAACATCGTTAGCTCGCTTTGAGGAAGGGCCCCAACAATCTTTTGTGTACTAAGGTGATGGCAACGACGATTTATAGCGCAACAGAGCGTTGCAATGTTGGAACAATACTGTACCTATTCGAAACAATGTCACAACAATGTTGCAACGCTGTGTTGCGCTAAAAATCGTCTCGTGTGACATCACCTTTAGTTGATTTCCACTGTTGTGTAATGTTTACGTGCATACGTGCGTAAAATTTACGTTAGCAAATAAAATACAGGCAATGTATGAAAGGTCGCACGTAAGCGTAAAAGTAGAACCTCCCTCATCTTCACATTTAATCTCAACACTTTATATCTTGCCTCTATTTTGTTTACGTGATTAAAATTTACGTGCGTTAACGTGAGTAGCCAAAAACGCGTCAGTGGAAATCAAACATTACCCACGGTTAGAATGGGATTGTATACAGGCTGATTGTTTTGAACAAAATCCCCAATTCCGTCCACTTGAATACGGCAACCTGACCTGCTTTCCCCGGTTTTGTGATTACAGAAGCTCTAAAGCTTCCTCTTCTTTATATAAATGTTGTTCCAACATTTCTTCTCTAAAGTCTTGATCAGGCAAGTATGATGGTAAATTGTAGGAACAGCAACCTAAAAATCTAATTTGGCAAGGTTTAATCTGGTGTGTCTGATGATTCACATGGCCAAAGTTTATAACGTAAAATTCCGAAAATAAGCCCCGGGGCTTATATTTTTCAAAGTCCCCTTTTGAGGGGCTTATATTCGGAGGGGCTTATCTAGGGAGGGAAAGTTGCGTTTCAAAATCGATTGGGCTAGTCTTATAGTTGGAAGTAAATTTACCGTTTTTACTTTGTTTTACTTTGTATTTGAGGGAAATTTTCCAAGTACAAGCCCCCCGGGGGGCTTATATTTGGAGGGGCGATTTAACGGAGGGTTTTTTGCGTTACCTGTTTGGGGGGCTTATGTTTGGAGGGGCTTATTTTCGGAATTTTACGGTATGTACATAAATCTTATGGGTAGTACACTATCTTGTCACTATATACCTTTCAAACTTCTCATTTGCTAATTGTTTCTTTAGTTTAGACACTTCGTCTTCAAGTCTCTCTGAAGCTTTGCGTAACGTGTTGACCTCCTGCCGCTGATAGGTTCTGCAAAACACCAAACCATGACATCAAATTCGACAGACTGCACCACAGCAGTTTGTGCTTTTTTTAACTTGAGATACCAGGGTTTAGCGAGTCGTGTTTGTGTCCTCCGTTTGACAATAGTCTTTCATTTAAACGACAATTCTTTTGCGTGTCTGACTTAAGCCGAATAAGGCCAATGGCTGAGTAAAAGTTAGGACACTGGTGAGAAAACACAAGCTGACATGTATGGTTTGCCCTCCACCACCCAACAGTGGGGCGTTATACAAACTTACTTTTCCTGGTCTGTTTTTGCCAGCCTGTCTTTTAGTCTGTCCACTTCGTCCATCGTGTTTTCCAGAGATTTTCGTCCAACGAATTCCTGCGTGGATGGTAAAAGTTTATTGTAACTAAGCTTTCTGATGTCGCCAGTTTTTGGCAATGAAGAAATGATAAATAATATAATACTTTTTCTCTTTGTTTTGCAAGAACTCCCTCAAGACTTCTAACGGTTTCTTTCTCTGAGAACACCTGTGAACAATAAAGGCATCAACGGCAAGGTCTTTGAAACATTTAACGCGTCCGTTAATTCTAAACATTATTTTAAATGTCTTAGGGGGTTGAATAAGTGTTTTAACTTTTTTGTCTAATAGTCACTGAGATTGCTAATTACCGTTGCTATCAAGCCTAAAGATATACAAACAAGTTTGCTCCAAAAGAAACTTTGGCTTCCAACATTAAAGGCGGATTTCCACTGTCGCGTAATTTTTACGTAAGTACGAACGAAATTTAACGCGCGTTAATGAAATAGAGGCAATGTATGGAAGGTCGCGCGTTAACGTAAGTTGAACCTCGCTCTACTTTGACGTAACGTGCGAGCTTTCATATATTCAGATCAGTGATTTGACATCACTTGGATCATAGAACATCAAAGAAACCGACGAATCAACTCTGGGAAAGGATTCATCGGTTTCTTTGATGCATCACGATCCGAACGATCTCGGATCATTAATCCTGATCCAGATCATCCCAAAGGAACGCACCCAATGTTAGCAGCAGTCAGTTCCCATTACTACCGTATTAAGTCATATTAGGGCCATTTATACGAGGAAAAATAAGACGGGTCTTACATAAGACGCGAACTTCCCGTATAAACGGCACATTTCGTCTAAAATAAGACGCGACTTAGTTAAGACGAGAAAAACTTCGCATAAAAGACCTCCGCGTCTTAAATAAGACGCGAACGCATGGTACGCATGCGTTAATTTTTGGCGGGAAAATTTTCGCGCCTTGTTGGTTGCCGTTGCTACGGGCAACATTCAAATGAAAACGAGTCAAGAACAGAGATAAGACGCGAACCATTTATACGAGCTGTTCTCGTCTTAGATAAGACATGCTCGTATAAGTGGTACAGTTCGCGTCTTATTTAAGACGCGTCTTATGTAAGACGCGTCTCATTTTTCCTCGTATAAATGGCCCTATTGTGAACGGTTGGATTTAGTCTTTGCGCGCGGCGATCATTTTTAATCACAAAAGTGTCGGAGCGTCGTTACTCTTCGGAAATTTACGGTATCAAACCCAACGCTTATCTCACAGCCGTTACTTGGGTCGTCAGGCAATGTTCCAGAGAGAGCTTTACGTGACGACTCTAATAACACCTGCTCTGCTTACGTAGGAGACTAGAGTTATCGGTGCCAAACCTTTTGCCGTAAAGTGTCTGTTTCAATCTTGGCCTCATCGAGTAGCTCACGCAACTAAAAACAAAAAGGAAAACAATCTTGAAAACAGAGCAACGAATAAAACCAATCAAATTAAGGTTTTGATTGGTTGTGCAAGCTTAACTGGCTTGCGACTCAACAAGCAATACTAGCCTGCGAGCAGTCATGTTGAGCTTTTAACTTTATTGCAATTGGAGGTTCCACAAAGTCACAGTTGCAACCATAGCGCAAATGATATCATCGTGGCCTTATTAAGCAGAGCTATCCCTCCTCAAGATCACGCCTTTGCCCTTTACTTTCGTCTACAATTACAAGCGCACTCTAGCGAGCTGTACGTTTGTGTATAGTAGGCTTCTTAAAGGGCGGGTTTAGCAGTCTGCGACCAAGCGTTCTTTTTAAAAATACTTTTCATATCTTAAGCTTTCATCCACTTTGATGCTACATTAGGTTAAATTTTCGGTGCGAATTCACAGAATTGAGTACCTGATCATGGTCTAAAGCTTTCGCAGCAAGTTGCCTGGAAAGCGACTCTCGTGTTTGGTCAAGTTTCATGCATAGTTCTCTGACAGCTGTCAGATCTTGCATCATACTCTCCTACCAAATAAAGAAAAAAAACAACAACAATTTTTAAAACATTGCAACAATAAAACTTTTTCTTTAACACCTGTATTTACAAACACCCACGGGACCCAAGGCTGGAGACTAAACCTAACGGGACTTCCGCTAGCGTCCACTTCAAAAGAATATCAGCTGAAGACAAGTTCATTTGTCGCGGGCGACAAGAGGAGCCCGCAATCGTAATGTCCCGGTTACTATTACGCGCGTTTAGCACTTATGTAGCCAGCATTCACTCACTTGGACTTCCACTGAGAATAAATGGAAAGCTTATGGAACGCATAAAAGTAAATCTGATCATGCGCGTGTTTGTGCCATCTATCACGTGAAATCTGATCACGCACGTTTTGGCCTTCTATCACGTGAAACTTACCCAAAGCACAGCGCTGGAGCAAGAGCGTTGTGACCCTCGATCAGAAGCCGGGGTCAGAAGCACTCCCTGACTTTGGGTATACAAATGATGGGAATGAATCGAGATATGGCCCCCCAAAACGCCTGTTGTACAAGCTAAACCTGAACGCCAAATCTGTCGCCATAAAAAGCGAAATATCCTGAAAACCACTTACCCTGTCCTCATTAGCCAGTCTGAGCTGTTCTTCCATTTGAGCGAGGGATCTGGTAAGGCTGGTCACTTGAATTTCATAAGCTTGATGAGATGCGCTATACTGATTGGATAATTCGTTACAGTTACATAATGTCCCATACATTATTACGAGGGGGAGAAGGAAAGGTAGTTTTTCCAACCCCATTTTTCCAATACGGACACTAACTTGGTCTAATTCCCTATAAAAAGCGTTTCCCGACTAAAATAATGCACATGTTCCAAAGACAACGTTTTGTTAACTTTTACGAAGGGGTCTCGTCCGTCAAGACTACTTTCCCGCCTCGCCGTTCTGCGTGGGAAGAAGGGTCTGGGGAGAGGTCGTTTGAAATGGTAGCAACGAGCGCGAGCAGAATAGTCTGTTCCAGGCTCCCATTTAGTGAGAAAGAACGTAAAGAAAACCGAGTCCTTGCCTGTAATTGCTTGTTTTCTTTTCTTTTCGGTCGTTCCCACTTACCAAGAGCCTGAAACAGACTGTCAGTGGAGGGAAAAAAAGTTGTTCGAGCTAATATTGTCTGCTCGACGTTCATTCAGTTTGTGTGCAGTTCACAGTTCGCAATACAGCTTTTTTATGCGTTTCAGAGACGAACGTAAAACACGAAGGTTGAAACACGCCTGACGCCCTTTTCATTGCACTCAAGTGACACAATCATCCTCGTCCGAGGATTTATATATATTTAAATTAACTTTTTAACACACTAAGGACATCAAGTTATGAGGAGGATAAGGTCACCTTTATTTGTTTTAGCTCTTTAAAATTAACTGATATGTCATTATCTTTGATGTACAGTAGATTATTCACTCTCGCCCCTTTTTTCTTTAAAATCGCAATAAGAAAACCGTACATTTATAGCTGCATTTATTTCACTAATAGAGTGTATACATTACGAAGGTACATTATATCAAACAAAATACCATTATCATAAATAAACGAACAGTTAAAGAATAATTTATTTCCCGGAACAATATATATATATTTTTTTTATTTTAGGTTTTATGAAATTTTATATCAGAGTAGAGATGTTTGGGAGATAAAAACTATAAGCTTATCGTAGAAAGGAAATTTATGCGTTTACAAGCTTTAACAGACTTAAACTTCTTACTAATTTAACATTTGTTCTCAACTAATTTATCGGAATTTTAAATACATGTAATATATGAAATTGCTTTCTAACAATAATCTTACGATATGTAGCTGGATTATCGTCATGGGTTCCTCAATGATTATATATTTTTAATGTAAACATTTGTAAAATCCTTTCTTAAGGTGAAGAATAAGTTAGATTATCCTGTCTTGAGTGATGTTAAAGAGTGTATTGGATTGAGGAGTACGTTATTATCTCAATTTAATTGCTTAAACGTAACTTAAGTATCAATTTAACTTGAGTATTCGTGAGAGGATAATCGTCGATGATCAATATCCCTTCTCATACGTCGCCGTTTATTAGCAAGTGCGTCTTGCACCTAACGAAATAATTTGTAAACAAAACAAATCAAAATAAATCATTTCTATACCAGTTAATATTTTGCCCCTTACACATTTTCATAATCGTTGGGTCTTCAGAATAACTTGTCAATTCTTTTTGTAATTTTTTCCCCACATTTTTTATTCATCGTTTTAAGACTTATTTACGATAAAACGTTTTCCGTTTTCCTGTTTCCTTTCTCACTTTCAAGAAAACTCGTCAAAGGAATAGACTCAAATATTTAACTTCTTTAGCTATCCGAGACGTAACTTTGCCATACAATGGATTGTTATCGATTTTTATTTAGAATTAAACACTCTACATGGTCAAAACAAAGACCTTGTTAACGTTGGTTAAGTTTTTACCACAAGAAATGTTCTCATTACACGATTCATTTTTAATTTAATTGAATTTCGTCAGCACAGACCCAAATACATTACTTTGGCCAATCACAAGTAAATACCGACAACCAACCAGATCAAGCAAATACTGGTGGCCGGCGCGAAAGGCGGGAAACTCATTCAAGCAAGTTATAAATGGGTGGTAAAATGGCTTTGGATTTTCTAGCCAAGGGACAGCGTAACAGAAAAAAAACTGAATGAAGTTTCACTCAGTGTTCTCACCAGGCCGCGGCCTTGCGGGATTCCCGCAAGAAAAACTGAAATGGCGCATTAAAACCAAGAAGATGCGCCCGTTAGGGCGCAGGGGCAAGCTACGAGTCAAACGGACTTAAGTAGTTTTAATGGTCAACCTAACACTACAGCATTCTGTTTGTTTCAATAAATAAAAAACATGATATCAAATGAGTCAAAGTCTTTAATTTTGTTGCCTTTACTTTCATTGGCCCCACGCACGTCCCACTACATCGTAAACCCGTCTGAATCTTTCCGCCATTCAGTTCCATTTTTGGAGTGCTCAGGTTCTTCGTATCGTTGTTTATCCATCAGTTCAACGGGCCTGGTTTCTCAGAAGTGGACATTTTTCCAGAACACTGTTCACAAATTTCTTTCTGATTCTCAGTTCCATTTCTGATCGTTGTTTATCCATCAGTTCAACGTGGTAGGTGGACATTTTTCCAGCTGACAACTTTGATTCTGTCACCAGCCTCTCTGTTTCACCGGTGAGAAGCTGATACTGTTCCAGTAATTCTTCTTTTTCTTGATCCTGCGTTTAAAACACTGGTCAATCGTTGCTCATATCTAAACTTAGAATACAAGCGCTTTCTTATCTATCAAAGGGACCGTCAAGTAAGCAACAACACGAGTACGCACGAGAGTTGTCTACACACGCTAGCGTCAATTTCTTTCCGTCCCCGCGTGTTGTGTTTTCTCGCGTGGGCAGATTTCTCGCTCACTCGCGAGACAAACGAGGAGCCATTGACACATAGCCTGATACACCTTAAGTTTTATAACCATATGAGGGCGTTGATATTCCAATGCAAAACAAAGCACATACTTGTACTTGTATTTCCGGTTAAAAAAAGGTTTTCCCACTAGCCAAAAAAAATCAATTGTCAGCTAAACCAGAAACAAAACAATTAGAACGCCTCTGCTTTTGTATAAAAAAAACTTACAACTCGACTAACTTTCTTGATAAAGAAAACAACAACAAAAACGTTGCAAAACAGAAACAAAAACATACACTTGACAAAACACAAAAAAAATCGGCTAAAACAACTAATAATGTTATTGGCCATTTAGAGGTTGTGCGTGAGACTGGGTCATTGTGTCGAACTGCACTATGGGATTGTTTTTTCTGGTCCAATTCTGACCCAGTTTCTTGCGCGACTTTGTTACAGCCAATAAAAGAAAAGATAGTGTTCCAAAAACAGTCCCATAATACAATTCGATGACGCCGAGCCAGTCTCATTCGCAACTAAATGGCCAATGCGCGTGCGTATAAAGTAAGTAAACTGACCTTCTCAGCTAGCAGTTCTTCTACCCGTGCCACTTGTCTGGCATATTCCGCTATTTGAACCTTGAGGCTTTCCTGTTCTTCCAACGCTTCCTGTAGCTGCAGATGAATCGCCTGAAAGAAAAAAAAATGAAATAAAAATAATTATTAGCATGTGAAAACAGCGAACATTTCGCGAGACCATCACTGGTTTCCCCACGAAATGAGGTCTGAGGAACGAGTGCGGAAATTCCATACTGATGACGCGTCACTACCCAGATCTGGGTAGAGCTTCTGATTGGTGGAAGCAATTTTTCAACCAATCACAGCACTAACCAGATCTGGATAGTGACGCGTCATCAGTATGGAATTTCTGCGCTCGTTTCTCAGACGTCATTTCGCGGGAAACCAGTGGTGGCTTCGCAAAATCTCGGCTGTTTACTAAGGCATAAATTCATATGGTGCAAATTTAGTCTCGTCTGAAATCCTTCACACAACTTACTACAATAAGACTAACTGAGCCATACCTGATGTTCCTCGGTCATGGTGTTTAAATCTGCTTGTAGTCGCCTGTTTTCTTTCAGAGCCACTTCCCTTCCTCTTGTCATTTCAGCTAACTCGTCATCCCTTGAGTCTAACTGTCTTCTTATGCTCTTTATTTCCCTGTCCTTTAGGTTTCCTTGCTCTAATGAGTGGCTGTTGATACGATACGACAGAGTTTAATTTTTCAGCAATTATTACTACCATATATACCGGACAATTTGAGAAAACTGATGAAAACTAGTCAGCAAATTACCTTAGCTGTGCCTCTAAATCGTCCATGTTCATCTTGAGCTCGCTTTCTGCTTTTTCCTAGAGGTAAAGAAAGAATTGAAAACTCATTTGTGAAGTGAATAGACAAGGTTCGATGTACGTCGCTCTCGTGATTCCAGTCTTGGTTCCTACCCGAAAAAGGGGAGGATGAGAGCGGGCAATCTCGTCCCCAGGGATTGGGAAAAGCCCTGGGGCCCGTTTCTAACGACCCGAAAGGAAATTTTGAAATTAAAACCTGTTATAGCAGCACAGTTCTTAGCCCACAAACCAGTCAATATTGCTTCGTTCACTAAATGTTGCATTGTATTACATATTTTAAAAATTACTGAAACTTCGATCTTGAACGCAAACACAACAAAGACAAAAGAGCTTTCCGGGCCCGAAAAGTTACCGGGACTTTCGGGAAACAGGCCCCTGGGGACGAGGCTGGAGTGCAGGAGCATGGCGCATGGACAGCGGATGGTATATCAAGCACAGTACTACCTCAAGCACTCATGAGGACCTTATACTAGGCGAGACGTTTTCAGTTCATAACATCGTAACCGTATTGTAATCAGTGAGGACAGCGTGCAAAGAAAGTCGTGTCCGATAGCCCGGGGCTAGTGAAATCTGTTTTTAACTTGCCCGACGGGCAAGTGATGTTCTTTGAGGAATTCGAATAACAGAAGAAGTGTGAAATCAATTCTGCCGACGAAAAGCTTTTGGGGCTAGTTGAAATGACGTCTGGGCTAGTAAATGCTAGCTTCAGCTTGCCCGAATGGCAAGCTGTAAAAATGATTTTCTTTGCACCCTGGAGGAGTTACAAGCAAAGCTCACCTGTCAAGTCAGGTAAGATGAACAAAAACCAAAAACAAATCAGACCAGAGAGATTAATGGGATAGAGGGGGAATCTCAGGCCGTTAGACGGGATAAGCGAATTTCACTAAGGCTATTTTTAGAGTTTGTTTTTTAGACGGAAGTCTAATTCCTCGGGCATCTGCACTTGTTGATCGATTGTTAGAAACGTCATCTGAAGTCCACGCATGACTGCCTCAAAACAAACAATGCAGAATATTGTGTTGGCGACACACAACGAGCCAGAGCATAACGTCCCCTTATTCTCTCTTGACAACACTGAATAGAAGTTTGCAAACCTCTTCGGAAACCAACTTCCGATTAATTTCAAGCGTTTAATTGGTCTAAATATAACTTGGGTGCAATTCACATATCCCAAGGGCTATACTGGGCGTTACCCTCTGTCTAATTATTTTCTTTTTATCAGACATAATATCATTATGGCAGTTCTTTGGTAAGTTGAAAGCCAACTCTCTACTATTGAAATGTCAATGTAAATAAGGTGTTGAAAAAAAAAAAAAGAAAAAGAAATTTGGTGGATGTATCACCTTCAAGGACACACGAGGCATACGACGCCGGCGCAATCAATTTCGTTACCAGAGTTTCTCTTACCGACAAATAGACCGGTACAAGACGTACAAGGAATCTTCGCGAGAACAGGCGGCAATGCGGTCTTTAGAACTAAGCTGGGTATAATGTGGAAGTTGATAAGTTATACAAGTGTACAGTGCTGAGCAAATTATTATTATTTAAAGCAAAAAGAAATTAATATTCACCAATCATAACACTAACTTACGACACAAATTTCACTTCGGTTGTGGATTTATTGAAGACAGTGGGCAGTCGCTAAGAAGTTTGACTAACAAAAATCTTAAAAGTTGTCTAGTGTATAATATAAATTTCATTCCAGTTGTGCTGCACTCAAAAGGTGCAAGGAATTTGTATAAAGTCCTAAGAGATCATGTCGGAGATTTAAACAATGCAAACAACTGGTACACCACGCAAAAACAGCGATTCTTACCTCATCGCCTCCAACAAACGTTTTAAGATAATTTAAAGAGTGAAGAGCCGCAACCCATGCCATTGTCGTAAAGTTGGACGTTGCAAAACCTTCAAAATGTGTCTATGAGTTCTACTTCGCAAGAAAAAAAGCCTGTTGGACTAAAAGTCGACCCCGGTGGAGCAATATAAAATATAAAACACTGGTTTTGTTTTGTGTTGTGATATGTTGTTGCTGTGGTATTCATCTGGCAACGAAGAAGACAGCGTCAGAAAACTGCACGACTTGTTCAAATAACAACACGGCGTCCATTGAAAGAAAAGTAAACACAACGCAGGCCAGTCGCTAAAAGCTACATTGTTTAACGTCATATACAAAAAGTTTGTTTACCTTTTCACAACACGATATCCTTATCAGTATGACAACGGAATAGTTTAACTGTTAAAGCTGAATAATTGGGACGAATATGCAATTTTTATTAGACCAATGGTGATCCTTGATAACACGACGCTGACCGAGTTCACCAACCTTTATCCGCCCTGGCAGTATCTTTCAGTTATCTTTTCGCATTACTACATGTAAAAAAAAGTTTCTCGTGCTAAGTCAAGGCAGGGTGGGCAAAGATCTTTGCATGCAAATTTAAGACATTGTCCAGACTTTCCAAAATTTAAACATTAATTTGTTTTCCCAGACTCGAGGTTATCAAATAAACGATCGTAGCATGCATAACTGGCGCTTTATAAGCCAAGCGACGCGTATGCGTAATTTTGAGCGAAGCGCGACGCTCCTCCCCTCGTCTCCCACTTTGCGCAAAATACCGCGTGCGCCTCGCTTGGCTCATAATCTCCTGTTATGCAGGCTAAGACGATCAAAACACAGGAACGAACTGAGGATTTCACACGATGACAGATTGTTACAGTTTTGAGAAAAAAAAAACAAAAACTCCACACTATCTAACTTTTTCCCAGAATTTATCTTATTTTATTTTCCAGACTTTTTCCAGGTCTGGAAAACTGGTTCGCCAGTTTCAAGACGTTTTCAAGAATCCAAGGTTGCCTTCGATTGGAAAATCTGGATGCATATCTTGAAATCCGGATTATGGATTTGCAATCGAACGCGTAAAACGGATTTCACTTCCGAGAAATCCGTCCTCAAAGTGGATTTCAATTATGAAATCCAAATCCGGATATTTTGCATTTCTTTCTTTACCGCTTGTTTGGGAAATCCGAAAAAACGGATTTGCAAAACTGTCTCGTGAACAGTGGTCTTTTTTCTGCTATAATTATGACTGCGAGTTGGAGACCGTTGTTCAGCGTTGAAATCCGCTTTCAGATTATGCAGTCAATTGAAAATCCGAAACCCGGATTTCAAAATCTGAATCCAGATTTCCTAATCGAAAGCTCACAGTTGTAGAAGAAACACCTCAACATACCAGCTGTATTCTTCTTGCCTCCAGATTCATAATTTCCTCGGTTTTCTCGTCCACTTGCTGCGATAAATCATCTCGTTCTCGGTCCAGAGACTTCACCGTTGCTTTTATTTCGGCTGTCTCTACACTCTGCTCAGCATTTCTCTGTTCAATTTCGTCTAAAAAACATGTTATAATTATATAAGACATGAATACCGCATTGCCCTTTGGAATGCTGGTGAACTGATTCGATGTAAGAGCACCTGTAGCTAAAACTACTGAAACGGCATACGGGCAGAGAAACGTTTTGCTAAGACCTCGAAACTTTCTCAAAACCTTGTACAATATTTTACACTCCATTCTACGCGGCTTTGCAGCTCCTGACTGCCAAACTTTGCGTGCGCTAACAATCCTCCCGGCTACGCAGGCTATCTCAAAACATTTTAAAAAGAGCAGACTCTGAAGAACGTATCAATTGCAGTGACTTGTATTTTTAAATCATTTAGAATCGTCGCGTCCTGAGAGTCGGTTTTTCAAAACTCCCGAAATCATTTCGATCCCCAAAAACTGTTTTAAGTGCACAAATTTCATTAGAAGAACTGTGATTTTAAGTAAATTAAAAAAAAACTCGAGAAGTTTGTTGACCTACTTTGTACAATAACTCCCAAGGATCATAAAAAATCGATGAGAAAAAACCTTTACCGGGCCCGAAAATTCTTCTGGAGTTTTGAGGAATGCACGCCAAATCTCTATCACAAATGAATCACTACGATTTCAACGACATCAGACCAAAACCCACTTCATAATCATATACATTGAGTTTACCTATCCTTCGCTCCAGCTGCACGCATTTCTCTTCAGACGCCTGCAGTTCACCCGCCCTTCTGTTCAGCCTCCTTTCCATGTCTTCTACGGTGCGTTGATGCTGGTCAGCTGTTAACTGTACTTTGTTAACCTCGGCTTCAAGTTCCAGCGCCGAGTCCTTTGCCATGGAAAGCTGGGCACTAGTTTGTTTTAACTGGTCCTCCAGACCGGACACCATGTTTCTGAGTGACGTCACTCTGGAGTGAAGCTCGTTTCTGTCTGCCTCGACCTAAATGAATAGAAGCACTGTTAGGTCTCGCCCTTTCCCATAAACATTTTCTTGTCAGTTTGGTTATTTCTTTTTCTTTTTTTTTTCGGGCAAGCGCGTCTATACAAAAACGACTATTAACAAAAACGGAACTTTTGCTGCGTTTGGTCATCAGGATATGCAAATAGTTTGCCCTGGCAAGGTTTCCTAGTTTCTTTGCTTGAACTTTAAAGAAACTACTCATTTGATTACTCACAGTTTTCAGTACTGTTTACACGTTTGCTCACATAATTATGTGAATTTCATGCATTGAAACCGCGGAATGAATAAATAAATGCAAAGAAGATCATCGCCGTTAAAGACGCAACTTATGCAGTTGTAAAAAGAAAGCCTGAATTTCCAGGATTCGACCCCTGACCTCTGCTGCGATACCGGTGCAGCGTTCTAACGATGAGTTGAGCTAGCAAGCCAACTGGGAGCTGATCAGCCTCGTACCCAGGCCTGTTCGCGCTATCCGAGTGACCAGAGGAGGCTTGGAACAGAGCGCGATAGCGAATTTTCCCGACAAGCTTGACAGGTGACGTCACATCCGAAATCGCCAAGGACGACTGGGAACGAGACTGGGAGCTGGTCACAAGTCAGGGTTCGAATCCCGGCAAGTCTGAAGTTTTTCAGGCTTTCTTTTTTTCGCTACTGTTGCGTTTTTAACCGCGATGATCTTCCTTGCAGAGGAGGATTCCTTCGCAAATATGCCTTACAAATTCGTAATCCCAAAGACCGTGACAAATTTTATGTTAAGGATAATATCGTCCGTCATTACCTTTTCTAACATGGTCTCCAACCTTTGTATTTTATCTTCATATCGTCTGCGCTCTTGAAGAGCACTATCCTTTGCGCCCTAAAACCAAATTAACAGAGTTAAGGGACTTGTCAGAAATTAGCAGGGGGAGGGGGGTGGAAACAGAGGGAGGGTCACAACCTTTTGAGACTGCAGAAAAGGGAGGGGTCATGAAAAATGGACCGTTAAAAGAGGGAGGGTCATGCAAATATGTGTTCGTGATCATGTAGAGGTTCACTCACAGAAGAAATAAGAAGTTCTTTATTTTGTAAAAAAAAAACCTTGGAGAAATAGGAGAGTCGAGTGATCAGCTGTCAGAATGAGTGTCGGACTCTTAATGCTGTCACCTAAAATGTATGTATATGGCATTACAAAGAATAGATTAGAAATATATTTTGAGCTTTCATAATACTGACTCACCCTAGTGTATTGCAAGAACTAGATTTTATCATTTATATAAGAGGGGGAGGGTCATGATATTTTAGGCCAGGGTCAAGGGGAGGGTTAGCAAATTTCACTCCCATTGCAGGGATGGGTCACCTCATTTCCGAACCCACATTTAAAATTCCCACCCCCTCCCCCCCTGCTAATTTCTGACAAGTCCCTAAATATAAATAGACCGCTCTTTTTGCCCAATTTCAGTTTCTCGTTCGCTCGCTTAATTCTTCTATAAAGAATGCGGTTGTAGATTTTCACACTGAATAAGGATTTGGGTACACAGCTAATTTAAAAGGAGGATTGACTAAACGACAAGAAAAGGGATCAGACAAATTTAGACGAAACAGGCGCAGACCCTCGTACAGAGTAACAGGCCACCAACGGGACGTAAGAATTTGTCCGTGTTAACGAGATGGCCGACTATCAGCGCAGTAGCGTTCCAGTTATTGATTCTTTCTTTTCCATTTGATATTGTAGGGGTGCTATATACTGGACAGAGTATTGCTGAATTTGTAAAGACAACTGAAGAACATAGGTATATTTGGAGATGAACAATATGACATTTCACGTACGCCTTCAATTGAAAAGGAATATCCCTTGTTGCTTAGTTTTCATGATCCACTTTCTTTTGCCACTCAAATTTCTTTTATAACGCACATTTGGTTTAAGTGACCGTATTAACGAGGTAAATTTTTAAAAGAACATATACACCTGTATTTTTCAATGTGGCCTTTGGCCAGGGCTTCCTTATAAAAAAGGGGCATTTTCCCGGGAAAAAATAAAGTGGCAGCTAAAAAAAATTGAGGGAGTCGTATGGCGAGATCCCCTGGTAAGTTAACAATATCCTGCGTAGTCGGACAGAGGGAATCGGATTTTCACGGCAACAAACCTTCAACTTGTCTTCCAAGTTGTCAAGCTGAATATTACTTCTCCTTACGTCTGCCAAGGCCGCGTCTCTCTCAGACTCCACTCGGACTAAGACAGCCGAGGCAGCACGAGAGGGTGAAGGAGACCGGGCTCGAGACACCTGGCGGCGTAATCTCTGGATTTCATCCGTGGCCTGCTCGTAAAGCAGCTGAATATTATCCCTGTCTTGCGTTAGAGTTTTCACATTCTCCTGAATCTAAAGCAGGAAAGTCATATTTAAATGGTTAAATTGCAAAACTCCCTTTCAGGCTAGCTGGAAGTTTAGAGGATGTTGCAGCAGACCGCAGTATACCAATGATCGTTTCGTTGGCCATTGGCAGGTTGGTGTGGGGACTGGGTCGTTGTTGCGTCGAATTGCACTGTGGGACTGTTTGGGGGACGAATATTTTGGCCCAGTTTACTACGCAAATATGTAATAGCCAATAACAAAAGAGATAGCATTCCCAAAAACAGTCCCAGAGTGCAATTCGACAACACGCTGACCCAATCTTCCGGGCAACCTGTATATGGCTGATAACCAAGCGCCAGTTGTTCAAAAGAAGGATAACTATATCTATCGGATAAATCTCTATCCAGGGGATGACGCAATTGGTTTCCTACTTATCTGCTGAATAGAGCTATCCATCTATTGTGCAAACGGGGCCAGATGTTAACTTTCTTTAGAATCTGCAAACATCATCCTTTCATACTTAAATCGTCAGTCATCGCAAGGGTTTACATACATGCACCAAACAGGCTCCAGGTTGGAAACTTCGAACATACAGCGTCCGACGCGCATCGCAAGCGGCACCCTCCACCATATGAACAGACCTCTCCCACGCGGATTCCGCTCCAAAACGAGATCAGGGCTTGGGTGGACAACTTCAAACAAATCACTGTATTTTGTCACCCCACGCCTCGGCCCCGTCGTCACAAAACCAGTGAATCCGTTCATCGAAACCGCATCTTTTTAACTATTCTCCAGGGTGTTTTTCTTATTGGACCCTACGGATTTGCAAATTTGTGAAGACGACTCAAAAAAATCACTATTTTGTCACGCCAAGATTCGAGCCCATTCACAGGAAACCAGTGAATCCGTTCACCGAAACTGCATCTTTCTCAAACCGCTCTCCAGGGTGTTTGCGAATTCGTGCAGACGACTCAAACAATCATTGTACTAAAACCCCCGAGCCTCGAGCTGGTGCCATAGTTTACGGAAATATATTTTACGTAAAATAAGACTGTGGCTACAATTCAAAATCAGGTTTCAGATAAAGTAATCTTGCAGTCCTTTACCTAATTTTAAGATCCGCATCTCCAACTGTAAAATATTGCGCGGGGTATAAATAAACTTCGTACCTCTGTAAGATGTTTCTCAAACTTTTCCACAAGAGACTGTAGTTCGTCTCTTTCTCTTCTCAAACGATTTGTTTCATTTGGGCTGTCACGTGATACCTAGGGCAAAAAATAGTTTAAATTATGATGCGGCCCAGCCTGGTCCATGAGTAAAGCTTCTCGCTTCAGTTAAACTTGGACCTGGTTGCTCAAACGTTGGATAGCGCTTTTCACCGGATAATTCACTATCCAGTGGATAAGTATCACCAAAACCAAGTGCGCTATCCACTGGATAGTATTTTATCCGTTGGATGGCCCTCTCCACCTTTTGAACAACTGGGGCCTGGACTCTACTGTGAACCGTGACGTCATTGTAAGAACTCCCACATAACACTGTTCACCTCTCTCGCCTGCTCATTTCTGAATTTCAAGCGGAAAACGAGGCAAGAGAGAAAGCCTTGCTACAGGCTGGGTATTCGTAAGATTCTGTGAAATAATTTTACTCACATGACCACAAAATACTCAGAGTTTTTTTTCGACGAATTCTTCGAGCGGGCGAGAGCAAGCGTAGAGCGTGAAAATGAGCGCGAATTTTCATGGACACACTCGGAGCAAGGAAAAAATAGAGGGTGTGTGAACAGGCTACGAAAGGCTTAAAAAAATGGGGTTTGCAAGATCTCGAAAGCAAGCCAAGCACATGGTCGGTCTGTAAGCATTTCTCTCTTATAAAAAGAGAGAAAAATTTTCCAGGAAAGGGAGAAGGGAATTAACATTAGAAAACAAATGCTTACGATGAAACAGGGGGGAATTGTGATTGCCCTCCGTTCACATTTCCCAAACGACATAGAATAGTTCATTACCCTTTCTCTTGTGGGAGGCGACATTAAAGCGCTCTTTTCCTTCATGTTCCTAAGCAGTTCACACTCTCGTTTGTAAAAGTCTCTTTCTTCCTGAAGCAGCTGCGTCATGCTTTCCAGGTGACCGAGCATCTACGATAAAGATAAAAATAGAATGTTTGGAAGACTAAGAATTGTCTTGTTTTTGCTGGTTCTCGGCAACTATAGACGTCATGGACGCCATGCTGGTGGACCAGAACAAAAGTCTTTCCCTCCGCTGGGAGCTAAACTCTCAGTTTTCTCGCAAATTCTTCGAGAAAACTTTTATTACTTGTCCTCCAGGATGGCCGCGTTATCACGTGGTTCAAAAACAGAAATTAATTCGACAAAAATTTATTAATACTTAGTAAAGAACAAACAGATAAACTCGAACCACGTCGTTATTTTTTAGACGTTATTTTTAGTCGTTATTTTTTAAACGTTGACTCGACAACAGAGCGTAGAAAACCTAATGGTAATAGCCTGTGCACCTCAATCTTGCTTTTTATCTCGCCATTAATATTCATATGGGAAGCTCTGTCAGGCTTAATGGCCAGGGAACAGTGGCTGGTGAGAAATGGAAATTTCTAGCACGCTGGGTAGACTTTCAAAAAGTCCTTCGTCCGATTATGGCGCGGGAAGAGGACGACCTCTCGAGCTTTCGACCTCTCGCGACTTCGTCGCTCGCTCGGCCGCTGCGCGCCCTAAAAAACTCGCCTCGCTCGGCAAGAAACTCATGAGGCCGACTTGTGGTAAGTCTACATGCTGGGATGTTTCTTCATCTTCGGGAGTGTTCAATGGGAGACTAAGTTGCATCTGTTTGTTTATACCTTTCCTTTACTTTTTCCTTTTCGTTTGGTGGTCGGGGAATCTGATGATGTCAAACGCTTTCTCATCATGTCCTGGAGCGACTCACACTCGCCCTTGTAGTAATCTCTCTCCTTCTCCAACGTGTTCACAAGTGATTCTATCTTGGATGGAGACTAAACGTAGAAAATTAATAGGGGTGTGGTTAAGATAGTAGTACGTAATCTTCACTGGCTCCTTGTGCAGTCTGGAATAACGTGCAAAATACTGCTTCTCGTCTTCAAGGCTCTGAAAGACATGAGGCGAACGAAGATTCCGCACTACAGAGGTTTACGTCCGCATCATAAAGGTAGAAATTGTATGAATTTTGGTGTCTTTGGGACAAAGAGGACTACTGTCCATAACAGAAATTTCCTAGAGAGGGCGTCCGTGAAGAAAGGTAATAGACTATATATCTCTCTGAACTATTACATATTTAAAGACCATCTGGTTTTTAAGATCAGCTTATTAGTACTTTCTTGCACAGTGCGGAGATAATGATCCGTGGCCCAAAGCTGTGAAACCCCCTTCATGCCACCATTAGAGGCAAGCCAAGTCTAAGCACCTTTAAGTCGTATCTTATAACCACCTACATTTTTAGCCATGCTTTTTTCCAATGTGTAATGTTCAGTCCGTGGTTAATTTAATTGTAGTTTTATAACATGTAACTCAGTGGATTATTATATGATATTTAATTTTAGTAGTTATTTATGATTAGTTTGCTCCCTGTATTCGAGTTTTCTAGTTTCTTTTCGTTCCATTACCGACACCCTGCTAATAAATAAACCTGCAGTAAATCCTTGGCTACAAGTTAATTACCTTATCTCGACTCCTCTTGGGTTTAACAGATTTAGCCAGCTTAAGTCTTTCCAGATCCATCACAAGCTCGCGTTCTAATTGGAAAAAAAAGATACGAAGTATTAATGATTTCAGAGACTCCTAGCCTGAGAAAATAAGCCGATATTTCGCGACGCGACCACTAGAATGGCATCTGAGGAGAGTTTGCTGAAATTCCACCCAGATGACGCGTTGTCACTACCCAGATCTGGGTAATGCTTCTGATTAGTCGCGCTGCAAGAGAAATTTGTTTCAACCAATCAGACGCACTACCCAGATCTGGGTAGTGACACGTCATCAGTATGGAATTTCTTCAGTCGTTACTCAGTCGTCATTTCGCGGGAAAACCATTGGTGGTGTCACGAAATGTCGGCTGTTTTCTAAGGCTACTATTTTCCCCGAAAAGGGCACGTCTACGCTACAGCATGGTGCATTTGGTTTTCATATCCAGCTTCGACATTCTTTCAGGATAAAAACCAGACTCTGAATGGACTTGAGGTAATTCCTCTGGTAGCTTAAACAGCTCCACGATAGGAGATGATAAGCTAGGCATCCCGCCAACTTAACTTTACAACAGAGAGCTTTAGATTTGAGGGCGAGAAAGAGTACGAGTACGAGATTTAACTTAAAGTTTTGCGCACATTCTCAAAACGACACCCCGGAAAGCTTCATTTTACTTTTTTTTTCACCAAAAAAGTTAGTGTTGTTATTTATACTGAAGGAGGTTAAGCCTTCTCCTGATAGCAAAATGATAAAACTTCTTACATTTAATAACTTGTTCCCGCCACTAGGACATTCTCGCTAAAACTCGTAGTAGAATGACGACGGCTATCACGTTTTCCCGCCAAAATGCCGCTAGATCACGTGTGAGCAATACTCAGTATTGAGAAAATCTCGTACTCGTGTTCGTCCTTGTCTCAGGATCTAAAGCTCTCTGATGAATAGCAGTCATTAACTCACAAAAAGAACACAATAATTACATGAACGCATGCCGCTTGGAAAACATGCAAATGCGGAAGCACCAGCACGGAAGGATGATGGGAGGTAGGTAACACACGTGACTCATACCGTTAACTGTAAGCTGTGCGTTCTTTTCTGAAAGACGTTTTTTCTCCTTGTCTGTTTTGTCCAGTAACTCAGTAACATGTCTGACATCTTCATTAGCGTTATCCACCAACACTGCCAAGCGCTCATTCTCTTCCATAAGACGCTGCCGTTCCTGAAAGCAAATTAGTGCCAGCTCTATTATATCTGTCTTGATTTTTTAACTTGGAAAACAACTTCAACGCGGCGAAAAATGCCCCACCCTATAAAGTCTCCGAAAGTCTTGGGAAGAGGCAGTAGAGTACCGTAAACTTCTGCTTATAAGTCCTGGGCTTATACAACTTCGTAATGGGTTTTAGAAGGGCTTATATCCGAGCAGGGGGCTTATAACAGTGCTGAAAAAGCGTTTCAAAACAAGCTACAGAGCCTGCGAGCAAGCTCTTCGGGGCGCTCTGGCGGTGGGGCGGGAAAAGGAAGGAGAGCTTGCACTGCCTCTCTGGAATTTGAATATCTGCATCGAAAAGTAGATGTGAAATGCTACATGATTGGCGGAGATGATTGGCACGTATTTTTCAACGTTTGTTTACATTCGCACTCGTTTCCGCTTCGCGCTGATTAGCGGAAATATGACAGCTCAGTCGACTGGGAGCCACAGGGGAAATGGAGGTGGAATTAGTTGCAAAGTTGCAAGCTCTCTTTCCTTTTCCCGCCCCGCCGCCAGAGCGCCCCGGAGAGCTTGCTCGCAGGATATAAGCTACACGGCAGTGCTGATCAAAATACATTTTGCATTCGATCGCTTTCTTAGGCTTCAAAACGTCGCAAAAACCAAATTCATTTCAATACAAGCTGGAGGGGGGCTTATAAAAGGATGTATTTTTTTTCCTTACAGCTAGATGGGCCAATAACTGTGGGGCTTATAAGCTGAAGTCTACGGTAGACCCTCTAGAGAAAAGGGACCCAGCTGCAGGTTACAGGCCGGGTAACCTGACAAACTGTTTTCTCCATGCGATCAATTCGTCCCAGCTAATTTGGAAATAAGGAAGACATAGATAAACGAGAAACGCCTTAGTGTTTCTCTTCAGTTCTGCAAAAAAAAGATCATGTTTCAGGCTTTGCTAATTTTGGCTGAGTGTGCGTAGAAAACTACACTGACTAGGACCTGACTTTAAAACTATTCCGTCAGAAGCAGTTCAACAAGAGACAATCACCTTTCGAAGTTCCTGCATCTCCGCTCTATTGACGCCTTCTTGGTGATGAAGATTTTGTAGTACAGCCTAATAATTGAACAAACAGAAATAACTGGTTCAAAGTTAAGTAAAGACTACTGAATTGATTTACTTAATTACAGATTCAGCTTAAAGAAAACGACGAAAAGGTTTGTTGAGCTGGTCCAATGTTAACTAAGGGGGCCCAGATTTAGTGCCTTTACTAGCGAGAGTCCGCTATAGAAGGGTAAGAGACGAATAGGACGAATAGTGTCCGTAAGTTTATTTCAGTCGAATGTCTGTAATCTTTTCCGGAAACTAGCTGTTGTCTGTATTATCGGGGAGCCAGCAAGGTCAGAGTTGACTGTAATGGAACTGGGAAATGTGGGGGAAACGTTACAAATTTTGTAAGAACGGAAAGTTCAGTTACGCCTCTGATCTCCTTTTTACAAACCTTTGTTTCCGCCAACTCAGAGCGTATAACAATGTTATCTCTTTGGCTATCCTCCTCTTGCCTTTTGGACATTCTGGTGATATCTTTTAGCTCCAGGAGTAGTTCTGCATTCCTTGCTTCAAGCTCATTGGCTAGCTTTGTGGCCTCAGCACGCTGTTCTATTGAATCCTTTAACTGTTTTTCTAAATCACGATTAGCTTGTTGAAGGTAGTCAACCTAGCGAAGAGAAAACAAGGGGCTAAAAACCTACAATGTATCTAAGCTTGAACATTTATAGCCTATTTAATTTTCACCTCCGTGTACAGTACTGTAGTATTTATTACTTCAGTTACCACGACCTGTGATATCTATTTTACAGTCAGTTCGTTATGTTAAAGGCATTGCATTTAATTGGTATTATAGTGAGGGAAATATTGTACTTTTGTTCTCAGGACGTTTTCCTCTAGCTTGCGTGGCAGGCACAAAAAGGGGAGGGGCTGGGGGGAGAGAGAAAAGCGCGAAAGACCCTCTCTCCCCAATCCCCCTCCTTTTTCCTCCCTATCCCCTAACCCTTTCGACGTCTGCTTCGCAGGCTAGTTTTCCTTGGGATGTAATGCGTCAGTCAATTACAGCAGCGCCCAGCGTGCTGATGCATTAGATATAACAGGTCGTTTTGATTCCACATTGTACGATGAGGAATGGTGTCACCGCTAGTTAATTAAATAGCGATTTCTTTATTTTGTCTTACGGTGATCGAGGTTTAACATGTACACTGTAAGATACACTTAATTGATCGGAGATCTTTATATGAAATTTCTGCACTAATGGTTTTTATTCAAGACTATGTGCTGTGGCAGTAAAACAATAAATGTCAGCTTGGATTGCCTGGGCAGCCCAAACTACAGTGTATGGAAGATGTAAAACCACAGTCTGAAGAAAAGTTCAAACATGTAGTTGAAGAAATTTCAAAACTAAAAAATGCAAATAGTAACCTGAACATTGAGGTGTGCTACAACTCTTTCACTACTGTCTTTCTTTCCATCTCTGAGGACTGCTTCCACCGGACGACCCCCATCAAGCAGCCTGTTAAGCCTCTCAATTTCTTTATCGCGAGCTTCCACCTAGATTTGGAAAGTAACAAAAAACTGAATTTAGTCAGCCTGTTACTTGCAGTTAATCGAGGAACTGTATGGCATATTCAATGTTACCCTCAGTCAATGATTGCACAATTCAATCAGAGTTATCATATCAGCGAATACCTCTCCTACTAAGACAGATTACAAATAGTTCAGGGCTTTCAATGACTTACATGTGTAAGCAATACCAGTACCAGAGCTGCAAATAACTTTTAATTATCGCCCAATATGTCCACTGTATGAACAAGTGATGAGATTTACTTTGTAAATAATTTCAATCATTGTTGTTTCTTTCCACCATAAATCTTATAAGCAATTAAGGCATGAACAGAAAGAAGTAAAGAGGTCTTGCAAGAAGCAACACACTTAGAGTACTGGTTACAGGCTTTTATGGAAACCCCAGGTACTCTAACATTTACCACAAAGAATATTTACATTATTCTCTGAAACAATTATTTGCCAGAGTCTGTTGTGGTGGAAAAAATTGTCTTATTCTGTGAACATTCATATCCCAACCACAGAAGGTTCTCTGGTTTGGACCCTTTATCCCTCCCAGGGTGCAAATAAAGTCAGTTTTACAGCTTGCCATTCGGGCAAGCTGTAGCTAGCATGTTCTAGCCCAAGAGGCATTTAGACAAGCCCAAGAAAATTTCTTGACGAGCTGGATTGATTACAGTCCTCCTCCAATATAACTTCCACAAAAAACCTTCACATGCCTGAGGCATGGTTCATACAGAATTTGGGAGGAATAATCAAGGACTTTTCAAGGAATAAGATTTTTCGAGGACTTTTTCTCCCTGTAAGTTGACATAGCATGGCATGAGGTAAAGACCTTCAGAATTCGTAGCTGGAGGGGGGTTTGCTTATTGCCTTCCCCCAGAAAGGCATGGTTACTAGGGTACTTCAAATAATGGAAAATGAACTATGACAGGAACTTTGAAATCATAAGCAAAAACACTTTCATGATCACCAATAAAATTTGCGTACTGCTGTGCTTTCAATCTTTCCTTTGCACAAAAAACACTTTTTTTAACAAAGGTTATTTTTTTTCAAGGATATCCCACAATGTTTCAATTTTGAAGGACTTTTCAAGGACATGATGCCTTAGCAATTGCAAATTAAGAACAGAATTTGCCAGCCCAATGGCAAAATCCACTAACCCCAGGCTATCGGACAGGGCTTTCTTTGCACACTGCACCCCCTGGTATCATAATGTTTGGCTGGCTATCAGAAATTCTGAATTCCTTTGCAGGGGTTTCAATAATATTTGAAGTAAGCAGTGGCTTTAGGGTTGACTAACCAACTGACTGTTTCTCAAAGTCCAAGGTTTTAAACAATCCTAAACTTCTATTACTTCAGTTTAGGGGGCAAAAAGTAGCCAAATTCTCTGACCAAATAGCCATCACTTTTTGTTGCTCGTCAGTGCTACTGAAAGCAATGACAGGGGTAAAGATTTTTTTCCTAAGACAAAGCAGTTCAGCAGAGTAAGCTGATAAAAAAGAGGGATGTGAGACATGTTTACAAAGTGTGGTTTGGATGGGAAGTGAATGTTCTAAGGTCATTTAAACCTCCACTTGTGACCTCATTCTGCCAAATTCCAGGATCAGGATTAATTAATTAATTAATGGAGCTAAACCCAAATGTGCAATTGCACCCATTCGAGGCATCCTACTAACAAAGAATTATTGCATAAAAATATTTCCAGCAACTACAATTTCTCACTTTCATGATTAGCTTGTCAGCTACAAGAGAGTATCCATTAACCAAGAGCAAGTCTCAATTATGAACAGCGACAACTGAGTGGCAGTTTTCACATTTCATTTTTCAATATCCATTAGCGCCAATTACTTAACTACAAGGAAAAGCAGTTTAAGCAAACATAAAACAATTTGTGAATTCTTGTGGAGCTTTTCCATTACCAGGTTTGCAGGTGGAATTGTTCAGCTGTTGCAGATATTTACTAGATTAAGATGCATTCAATTTACCATCCACTCTTTCAAAAATTATTGCTATCACTAAACCACCCACTTCTGTCACTGTTAAAAACCACAAACACCTACTCAAAAATTTACTGAAAACACTGCTATAAAGTAATATTAATAACTTTCACAGTAGAAAGTAAAATATTTACTTCAGTAGCCTGATTTGATACAATATTAACATTATTATATATTTTTTCATTATTAGCAAAAGAATTCTTTTTTGAGACAAAATTTTAACTGAAAGTAATCTTAGAAAATTAAAAAAAAATTAACATTTATTTTTCTTTTGAATATTTCAGAAGGATAAAAATTTTAACCTTGTGATAAGCAAAATAACCAGAACAAGTATATAATTGAATAAAGACACTCAGTCAAAAGGAAATAAAAATAATTTAATTAAATGGCCTAGTGTTAAACACCTATCAGATCCTGTAGTTCTGTTGACATTCTTGATACCGAGCACGGGCAAGTGTATGAGGTAGTGTTTGAGCATAAGGTAGTCAAAAGATGCAAGCTGGGAAAGAGATATATCGACGACATGTATACCATACAACAAAGGATGCTAAATATAAGAATAAATAATTGACTATGAGAAAAACAAAATAATATGTGAAGCGCAAAACAGAGGTGGCTTTAAACTAACTTCCAGGGCATCTACAGCGACAGAGAGCTTTTGCAATTTGAAAGTCTCCTACTTAGCTTAAATTTAGCTCAAATTAAGCTTATGGTTCTTACCTGTTTTCGTAGACTTTTGTTTCGTCTTTCCGTACTCGACTTCTCGTCCTCAAGATGAGAGACTTGTTCCTGTAGTTCTTCTATTCTTGTATCAGCCACGTTTAATAAGTCAGCGACATATGGATCCTGTAAATCGTCTTTCTCGCCAGGCAAGCTACGAGCAGGAGAAACCGTACTTTCGATGTCCATTCGCTGTCGACGAAGCGGTATTTGCTTCCTTCGACCACCAGGGGTTTCCACGACTGCGTGTAAATTTTTCTCTTGCAAGTCTTGTATTCTATCGGTCTTCGCCTTGTTTTCCTTCTCCAAGGCTTTAACTTTATGTACATATTGGGTATTTAAAAATTTCAGGTCGGCATTTTCGTGCTCTAGCTTTCGAACGCTGGCTTTGAGATCCCTGATAATTTGATCAGTTTCTTCTCGTAATTTTATGAGCTGCAAATGAAGTTCGTTGTTCTCCTTTACAAGTTTGGCATTATCGCTCCTGTATGGCTCAACATTATCCTCGTAGACAGTCTTCTCCTTTTCCTGTCTACCTACTTGGAGTTTAAGATTTTTCAAGCTTTCTGTTGTATGAACAAGATCGCTGAACAGTTTCTCGACCAGCGGAACAGATTCGATTCCAAGTGGCTGTCTGTAACCGAGCTGATCTAGACGCTTTCTTAGCGTCGTAAATTTTCGCTCTGTCATTCCTGGAGCCTCTAATGTCCCTCCTCTTCGATTCTTTTACGACTTCAGCCAAATTCATGGATATTTTTGAGGAATATCATCTTCAGAGGAAAACCGTTACTACTGTTCGCGGTTTCAGAGCGTCTTTGACAACCGCGAAGAACGCATGCGTGACTTTCAAATTTGCCTCTGTTTTCATTAGCAGCTAAATGAGAATTCAGATTTCGATCAAGAAAGTTGGATCAGATAATTTTGGAGAAAATGTTTAATTCTTTTTACAAATTTTTCAAAATCAGCTGATGCAAATTAAGAGCAAACATTTTTCTAAAAATTGAGGATTTCATAACAAAATCTTTGAAATACAGAGCTGCTGATATTTTTTATGGCCGCAGTCCATGACGTTTATTTTTTCTATTTTCAGACGAATTTGAGAGAAACTTGAGCGTCTCAGTGAACAGGCTATGAAATAATACTTTTGCTGCTGTTGTTGTTGTTTGTTATTTATTCATTTCCGTGACTGTATAAGGATCTGCCAGTGAAATATTACATTAAAAAAACATGATAGATCATGCTGAAACATCCATATCAAATTTAATCATTTTTTTCTTTGAAGGTAATGCAAGGGATTTTGCGATTCAAGCCAAAGAATTAGCTTGAAGCCGGGTCAATTGATTTTGTAGGATAAATGTCGAGATTTACTGCGACCCGATTTATTTTACAGCAAAACGAGATTTAGCCTAAGAAAGACGTTTCTTTCCTGTTTTCGCAGGCTATACCGAGATATAAGGCTAATGTTTCAAGTTCACGGTCAAATTCATGTATTCACTCTTATCATTTGATGTACAATGTTTCCAATGAAAATTAATAATTCAAGATATTGATAACGGATTGATATAAAATCTCTCATGTTACAAAAAGTCCGAGCCCTACGACGGACGTTAAGCCAGCAGCTTCGCGCTTTGAGCACGCGTAGTGACCCTCAGCCTCGCAGCCACGTCACAAGAGTCGATGTCATTTGTCATGATCACAACAAAAATGGGTTTCGGCTGACTCGGAGAGAAATACCTTCGTGAAACTTTTACAAAGCGCGCTTACATTAATTGATAAAGGGGTAGTGGTTTCCCTGAAATCCAGCAGACGGCAACGACGTAATGAATTTCTGATCGCATGCATGGGACAGCTTCAGTCGCTAGTCCATCGCAGAAGAATTCAGCTGGATTCTTTTCCAGATCTAAGCAACTTTCCCCCTGAAGTAGCTGTGTGTGTTTTGTCACATTTAAATGCCACAGATCTTTGTCTTGCAGCCTGTGTTTGGCAACACCTGGCTGATAATGAACTACTGTGGCAAAGGTGAGTTGGAAAGTTACATATTTTTTAATATTTATTTTGAGTTTGAAAGGCGCGATGCGGTGGAACCGACCACAGGTGATTTTAATTTGATGTTTGTTTTGAACCGTGGAATCTCATTTACATAGCTGTACTCTGTCATTTTTATACAAGGTTTCCCAACAAGTACTTACTATGCCAAAAGTTACATGTAAACTCACTTCATATCCTTTTTTTTCCTTCTGTATATTCTTGTTTGTGAAAAAGGGTTGTTTATTGCGTTCAGACTGTACGTACTGGTGATTTTAGAATCTAAACCAACTTGAGATATTAAGTCAGTCTTAAATGTTTGCTTTGCGATTCCCTAGAAACACTGATAAACATTTACGTCGAGGTGGATTTTATACACGTTTTGTCCTAATCCCAGTTACTAAGAGTATAAACTGACAACTTTATTAACGGCTTTTTATTTGTCGGTTTTTGGGAGAGTTTTGACTCTATCCACTTTTGACTTAAAAAAAGAAACATTTGCGACAAAAATATCACATGAATACGTTTATAAACGCCATCGATCTGTTCAAAACAATGTTACCTATTTTATGTTTAAAATTTTGACTAGTTCAGTGTTAAAAGTAAGGCATTTTATTTATTTGGATAAAAGTGTTCCTCGATATTATCAGTTTTAGTTGCACCTTGGATCATTGACCATCATTTTCTGTGTTCCATGTGCCACTCAGGCAGCTCAATGCATGGTAGTCACATGTGTTTATAGACAAGACAGGGTGTATTTCATATTTTGATAGTGTATAAAGTACACTAGAGAAAACATGACCTATTAAAATAATATTGTTTTTTTTTGTCACTTTGTACTTGCAGTCTTGCCAAATCCACATGGGGATATGTTTCAGCTTACAAGAGAAAACACCAGGTAACTAAATGCACTCCCTAGATGTAACCTCAGGAAGTCTTAGACTGCTTGCAAGCCATCTTTTCTCTTAAATCCATCAAGGTCTTACTCTAGCTACATACGGTAATGTTGTTGTTTGCACATATCGTTTGCAATCAAGGCGGTTAACAAAAAGAGATTGGGACAAGAGTTAAAAAGACAGGCTGTGGACTCTTCTCTAGTAAACGGGCCCTTTGTTGGCCCAGAAACAGAATAGTCGACTGGTCAATTTTCCACTGTCCCCTTTTGCAGATCATTGACAGTTCTGTGGGTAAGTCTGGCAAGAGCAAATAATAAAAATTAATAGTTTCAAAGAAAGTTAGTCACAACTGACCAGAAACAATGACGGATCCAGTGGTAATCTCTTAGAAGCTAAAACATACAGTGATATCTTGCCTACGAAGAACAGATGGAAACCGAGCATATGGATTTAGAAAAAAGTGTAATTTCTGAGTTTTGTCTTGTCTCTCTTTGTTCTTTGGTTTACACTCTTTTACCACAGCTTGCTGCCTCACTTCTCACTCCTCATGTGTATGTCTTTTGCATGGGGTAACTTTGAAAAGAAAAAAAAGATTTGGCTCATGTTAGGTAATCTAAGCTTTAAGGTCTGCAGAGCCTGGTTTCCTGGATTTGATGGCTGAAAAAAGTTCAGTGATATGAATGCTTTTCAACAAATGTTTCCCTGGCGACAAATAAAACTGTTGAAGGCATTTTATACCCGCCAACCTTTTTACATTTATAGGCGTGACATTTTTTATCATAAGAGTGCCAAGATTTTTCATAAGGGTCCGATAATACCCGAAGATGTCCGAAGACGTTCCGAAGACTTCCGAAGATGTTACGAAGAGTTCCGTCTAACACTAACACAGGAACACAAAGGAACATTGACTTCCCCACTAATAGAAGAGAATTCGGAGAAAGTCGATGATCCTCATAGACTTTTCACAAAAATGTGTCAGTTAATGCTGTAATGGCTCAAACTTTTCCACCAGGCATGACAAATTGGAACACAGGCATGAGAACCAAATTTTCGATCTGCAGGCGTGACAATCACGCCTTATGCATGACACTTGACAGGTATAGCATTTGTTTAGCTCTTGCGGGAACATTTCTCGTGAAAAGGATTTGAGGTGAAATTTTCTTTCTGTATTTAAAACCATACTACAAAAAAAACCCATTTGATTTAGTTTGAAGCTTATTTATGAACATGTCAGCTGAATAGAGTAATGCAAGACCTAATTTGCATTTGTAAAAAAGAAAACATTCAGGTTAAACAGACAAAGATTTGTCT